TGGTTCGATTCGGAGGGACTCGTAGACGACGGATTTCATCAAGGGCATCTGCTCCATCGCCGCCATGGTCACCTTCCCTCCGCCGTGGGTTTTGATTGCACCTCTGATCTCCTCCGCCAACTGGGTATGTAAATTAGTTCCGGCGCGGCCGAGCCATTTCAGTGTATTGGGAAACAAAATCTTGATCCCCCCAAAAGTATTGAAACAAACTGTGAATAAGATGTTATGAACCGCTTCGTCTTTTGAAATCCCTAAAGCTTCTGCTTGTTCGATGATCGGAGACGAAGAGGATTCGAAGAATTCGTAAAGTTTCTGATAGTTTTTCTTAATCAGGGCAGGAGGCAGCCGGAAAGTATGAAGGAGAGGTTCCTCTACGAACCATGGAAGTCCAAGGCGGAGCAAAGGTCCAAGATTGAATAAAACCCAGGACCCGATCAACTTCGGACCATCTTTTCCGATCTTTGTTACTTCCGGGTTGGTTTCCAAATACGCCCGACCAAGAAACCTGAAGGCTGCTTGTTCGCCGACGTCGTTGAAAAAAGCTTTACCCTTTTGTGCTAACTCTGCTTCAAGCTCATCGAAGAGTTCACTGTATGTCGCTTCGAATTCCGGCATAACTCTGCTTCGGGAAGATTTGAGCATGAAAAATATCAAATTTTTCAGCGGAGCATGCTTGGGCTCCGATGGGTCAAGATACGAGAGGACACGGTGGCCGCCGGTGAGTTCAGTAGACGGCATGTATGTCCCGGTGAACAAATCCTTCTTTTCGACTTTAGATACATCAAACAGCGTCGGAAAACTCTTGGCGTCAAGAAGAACGACGACATTCGGGTTGTTGGCGATGAACGGACCAGGTGGCATGTTGACACGAAACACCGTTGACTGAAATTTATGAATCCGAGACTTGAAGAATTCATCCCGTCCGCCGGCACCATAGAAGTACTCAAAATCGATCTTTAAGGGGTTGAAAGAATGGAATGCCGTAAGAGCCAGGGACTTGCCGGAGAGGGAGATTGGTGGTGGAATTGCCGCTGACGGTGGGAGCTACATCCGCCGAGGTGGCAGAAAGAGGTGGAACTGGAACAGAGTCTTTGATGGAGGCAGTGATCAGTCGGACAGCGGTGGCGCGTCGACGTGGGTTTGTCTTGGGTACATCAAGATTCAGGTTGTGGAGAGAAGGGAAAGCTAAAGATGAAGTCGCCATTTTTTGTTTATTGACCAAATCTAAGTTCGAATGTTGAGAATTTGATATTTAAAACTTGGGTAAGGTTGAGATTATATAGAAAGTTGAGGGTGAAAAATGTCAATTCAACCGACCAAACGAGTACAAGTTAACAAGAAAAACATGTACATGCATCAAATGGTTGTACGTTTGACTAGGAAGACGTTAAAATTGACGTGGGGACGAGTGACATTGGCTTTAATAAATAACAATCAGAACATGTGGTACGCATTTGCTATGCAATTATTTTAATTGTTTATTTTCCATTAGTGCTCCATTTATTTTTATAGAAAGTGGCACGTTGAATTCATACATTAATAATTTGAGCTACTTTAAAGGTAGCATTTTGTAATGTTCTAACTTTAACCTCAAATTCTACGCCACCACTTGAAAGAAATCAGCCTACTTTTGGTTATATAAAGTGATGACAAACATTTATAATTTATTTTATGGAACACGTTTTTTATAAGATAGAGTGTACTGTGAGACTGATCTAAACATCATTTAATAGATGAAATTACATGAGTACGGCTGCATGTTAAAAAGAAACTATGATGCCATGTGATGTTGTATAGAGTTCAGGGCAAATATGTAAAAGTTTTGATGGTTCAGTATCTTACTTTTCATTCATCAATCGAAAGTTTAAATACATGAAGAAATCCTTGATCAACAACGAAACAAGAAAACTAATTTAAAATACAATAGATAAGGATAACTATAGGCAAATCCGATTCTAAGATAAACACTTAAAATAAGGAATGTTTCTTTTACTCCCGTCAAGTTGGAGCGTGTAGATTTCGAACGTCCAACTTGTCCAACAAAACTTGAAGTTGTTGAGTTCCCAAAGCTTTGGTGAAGAGGTCAACAATTTGATTGATGGTGTTGACACTCACAATTTTTATTTCCTTAGATTATATTCGTTCAAACATAAAATAACAACCCATTTCCACGTGCTTGGTCCTCTCATGAAAAACTGGATTATTTGTGATGTCTCTAGCAGCTTGATTATCACAATGAAAGGCGTAGATCTAGTAGAATGGACATCAATGTCTTTCAACAACCACCGCGGCCAGATGATATCACTGACTGTAGAGGCCATTGCCTTATACTTCGCCTCGATTGAGGATCGTGAAACTACATAATGTTTCTGATGGGTTTTGAGCACTACAACATTCCTATGATGTACATGCAAACCCTAAAGCTTTGGATCTAGTTTGTCTAATGAACATGCAATAATTATCCAAAGCCATAAACCCTAGATCTAGCATGTGATAATCAATATAAACATAAGAATAGGGTTTAGATCTTACCTTGATTGTTATGTAGCAATAACAATCTATTCCTTGTTGTAATTGGCTTCTGAAAAGCTTAGAGTCACAAATGTCACTCCTCTAATGGCTCACAAACACCAAGAGCAAGAGGATGAAGAAGGAGAAGAGGAGAGGCACTCAAAAACATCTAGAAACCCTAAGGAATAAGATAGCCACATTTTTGGTGCCCTAGGGGTGCATAAATAGTGAGGCTATTAGGGTTATCTAACAAGGAAACCCTAATTTGACTGCTTAGGCCCTAAGCAACCCATGGACTCCTCCTTTAGAGGCCTTGGACGATTTCTAATGGGTTTCCCCATAGAATTTGTCCACTCCTCTAATATGGAGTTCATTAGCCCAATATTCAACTATCACACAATTGACAATTCTAGTCCCCTAAGTTTAATTAATCTCTTTTAGCCACAATAATTAATTCTTAATTAATTATTGACTAATATTAATTAACGAATATGATTTCTCCTTTAATATATTATTCTCATAATATATTAATAAATCATAATTAATACTCTCTCTCCATAATTCATCCTATCAAGTTGTTTTGGTGAAGTCAACCCAAAAGGATCATGCACCATCGGGTCAAGTACATACCAAAAATAGTTATGGACTTAGACATTAATCCAACAGTCTCCCACTTGGATAAGTCTAATAACTATTCTGCGTATGACTTCAGATCCTGATCCGCAATCGTAGCTTTCAAAAGCTGCTGTCAACTCTGATCTTATCAGATACACGTCCTTTAGATAAGGGATCATATATTCCTCCATTCTAGATATTATATAGACGTGAGACATGGATTGAAATCATTCTCTCAGTCTATGTGTCGTTTCCTGATTTCCGATTTATGACGACTGACTAATTGAACAAATCAAATCAGTCCTGGCCCGGCCGAGCACTTTCCTTTGTCATCACTAAATCATCGAGGGGCCCACAGATATCGCTTTTATCCCATATTGGGTAAAAGGAACAGATAAACTTCGACTCAATGCTCTCTTGTACTTACTCACCGAATCACATACAACAATACGTTTTATAACACCAAGTTACTGGTGCGTTTACATATTATCAATGTGCAACCGACTCGCAAGATACAACTCACACATCTCGGTTTCAAGAACATAAGATATTATCGTCTCACCAATCACTCGTGATAAAATCCATGAAGCGATCCAAGTGAGCGTGGGTTTAATCCAATGCTCAAATCATATTCGTAAGCACTCATGAACGTTGTAGCAAACTTTTGCTATGTCTAATACACTTTAGACAATCTACAACCAATTCATGACAATCTTCTTTCATACCTACTTCCAAAGTATGAGCGATTGTGGAACGTTCAAATAATTCGATTATTCTCAAATAACTCAATTATTTAGGAAGTCAAAACATGCAAATTGAAACACAAGAATAATACTAATCTTATATGGCCCCAAACTTTTGAGTATAAATAAAACACTTTTATTTAATCACCATATTGATTACTCATTATTTGTTGTTTCGGGTAATCAACTTTTTACTTGAATTATAACGACAATTGTCCCCTGCTCTTAGCATGCACACTATGTTTACTTATGGTCCTTACTCTGTGAAATAGTATAATTGAATAACATTTTCAATCATACTCATTTTACAATTCCCAATCCTTACCACAAGTGTAAGAATACCAAATTCTTGCCACTTATAGAATATGTTAGATTCTAACACTTTATGCAGCAGTCCTTTCGTAATGTCATGGCACAAAAGTCACCAAGACTCGGCCAATGAAATTACAAAATGCTCTATTGGAGATTGTTACAAGACAATTCCATAGACATGAAGTCTCACATTCAAAGTACATTCCTTTGAACATCCTTCTTGCATAAAGGTTTTTCTACTCTACACATAAACTCTTAACGTCCAACTCCCAATATGGAAACATTTCCATATTTGCCATATGACAACTCATTATTAATAATAATAATGTCAATATGGTCCTTCCATTACTATACTTCCAACTGTTCACAAGCGACCAATCCTTGGCGAACCTTAGATTATCCTTGACAGTTGTTTAACTAACTCAGTCAAATCCGATTCTAGTCCTCTTTCCCTTTTAATGCCCTAGGCATCTGGAAAATTTTTAGAACGGTCGAATATTACAACGACATGATACTTTACCAGTCTTTTGCTATAATATTCTATTTCTATTTACCATGTTCTCATGATTCGAACTATGAAGAGGGATGTCGTAATCATAATCGAGTGTGAGAACGCAACAAATGTTTCCATATATAGAATTCTCTTACGTTGAATCCTTTCAACATAACATTCATATATCTTTTTGACTAAATTTGATTAAAATTTCTCGATCTAAACCTTTAGATTTGAAACGAAGTATAATATTCTCTCCCTTAATTATAGCAAAACAACTTTTCAACCTATGCAACTTTGCAAAGTGAAACTTTTGTTTTCTATAATTAATATTGTTAACTTGCAATAATAATCATGTTCCCACTAACATGATGATTATATCCATACTAGCATAACATTTATACTCCCACTAGCTTTGACACGTATTCAGAAACCAGCTAAACTTCTAGAAAAAAATACTTATTGACTTCCAAAGTTCATTGTTTCTAATACGATATGCTTTGATAAGCTTTTATCTAAGCATCTCAAACTCATACACCTTACTTTAGACAGCTCACATGTGTGTCTAAACAATTCCAGAACTTATAGCAATAAGTCTCGATTGTTCAAACTAATTGCCAAATCTCACAATTCGAACTATGAAAAAGGATGTCGTAATCATAATCGAATTTGAGAATGCAACTTACATAATCGCTATCTCCTTAAAATCTCTCTTAGTGAAAGCGTTTCCTCACAATCATTTTCATGAAGGAGAGAAACCTTATGATACTTAGATTTTATGGTGTATGTGTTCCTATCCATGTGAATCTGTCATAACCATAATCAGAAGATAATGTTCATGACAAATTCAACCTCTTATGGACAGAACTTGTTCATTCTTAATTTCTTGCCATCAAGGGTCCCACCATTGCTTCCAAATTATTTAGCAGCTCACCTATGCCAGTCAATGTACTTTCATTGATCAAGGTGTTTGCCCTTATGCATTCAATTGAGAACTCGTATAACTCATATGCATAATCACTCAACTGGATTGGCATAGAAATAAAATTTTGTCAACACGATAGGTTACAATCCTCAAGTCGTGTGCTAGTGTTTAATAGTTTTACTTCTTGATTTGTTCTTGAAACTTTTCAAGATCTTTAGACTCCCACTGACCTCTTGACATATAAGATTCTCTTATCAAGAACCATTTCTTGACAAAATAAATATTCAAGAGTCAGTGTGTGTCTATGCCAAGACAAAACTACGCGCAATCTGGTACTAGTTGGTCTTTGTCTTATTCAAGACATCACAACTTACCAAAATGTGCAAGTGTAAGAACATTTATACTTAAGATTATCTCACTCAATTCACAATCTTGGAGTATGACTCTAAGACTTGATATTGGAACGAAGTACGATACATCTTATTGACTTAACCATTTCTACAATTCACCATTCCTCTTCTTAGCCAAACTAGTGCACTAAGGTATCCTTAGAGGATGAATTGTAATATGGTTCCTACAATAACCAAGACGATCATAAAACACGA